CCATTATACCCTGATTTCCCATTTTCAATGGGTTCAGGGTATAAAAACAAAATTACAAAAATGGTTTTCCTGCAAAGTTACATTTTTCGACATATGTACGAACATTTTGCGGATATGCGCCGATATGTTGATTATATAAAAGAATAAAATAATTAAAAACTTACACGTTGAACATAGGGAACTGGTATTTGTCCAACAAGACCAGTGGAATTGCGGGCTGTCCACCATTGGTCTTCATCTTTGCGAATGATCGAGAGAACTTCACCTCGTTGAAATGGTAAATCGTCTTGATCCTAAATGTTAAAAAGTATAGTTCACACAATCAACTTTTTTTTTTTATACATACACTTCCAACAAAATCGAATTTGCCAATAACTTTTTCAAGTTTTTTCTGAGCGGGTCGCTTCAGTGGTGTGGTATCCAAATAATGCAATGTGTAGAAAGTCAATAACTTAGGAAGGTTTTCGAAAGACTGGTCGCCAATCCGGTAAACTATTTGGTCTTGTTGTTGCACCTTGTTTATAATGTAGTTACTAACTTTAGTGTCTTCTCTTTAATTTAAAATAAATAGAATGAAATACGCATTGACTTGTGTTACCAAACATTGTTGTTCACCTACCTAACACAAAGGACGTAATCGCCTTCAATTGAATTGCTGTCGCGAACCAAAAAAACTCCTCGTTCCCTCTCGCTCATTAATATTTCGGTTGCATCTTGTCTAGACATGGAGCCAAAATACCAACTGAAACGATTTATATCAATTCTAAGTAATTTTGATGGAAATAATAATAAATAAAAGTGCCTTATAAATTGTATGTATCTACATGAACAAAAGTCTATATTTACAATGTTTTATTAAACGACCGGAATAACTATTTGTTTTGATTCTTACCTACTCCTATCTGAAACATCAAATGTATCCATGTTTGAATCAAAATGAAAAAGGCTTTAATTCAATTTATTACCAATTTACTATAAAAATATACATATACATATAAACATGAATATGTATATATATATACATATATACGTACATATATATATATAAATATATATATGTGTATATATAAATATTTATACATATAAAAAAAAAAAAAATATATATATATATATATAT